CCCTTATCCCCCTCCCTCCACCTACTCCCTACCAATCTCCCCCTCATCCAAAATCCCCTTCTTAACCAGCTCCTCCGGGCTCGGCCTGGACTGCAACCCCTTCTCCAGATTATCCGCGCGCATATGCATATCGAGTTCTTTCTGGTGTCCTTGCAGTGCGGGCGCGGCGTTGGAGGCAGGCAGGATGTTGCGCTCGATGAGGTCGGCGCGTTCGGGGCGGGCGTTGAGGCCTTTTTTGAGTTGGTCGGTTGCGCGTTGGCGCTCGAGTTCGAGGGCTTTGGCTTGGAGGGCACTAAGAAGGGGAGGGGGTTAGTGGAGGGGTTTGGTGTGAAGTGGGGAGAGGGGGGTGGGGTGGGAGATGGGGAATGGGGTGGGAGGGTGGAGGGAACGTACGGAGCAGTTGTAGTATCCAGCAGAATATGTCTGTTCTTCAGATCCTGCGGCTCAGGCCTATGCTGCAAATGCTTCTCCAAACTGTTCCGGCGGTCCAGAGAGCGAACGGGCGAGATGGGTGTCTCGTCGACGATGACCTCAGCCGCGCTTTCGTTCTTGATATCCTCAGTCGCCATGGTGGAAGTAATTCGTCAGTTCGCTCGTCGGTATTGAGGTTGAGTGAGTAAGTAAGTCGAGCAAGTGGTAAGTACTGAGTGGTAATCAAAAGGGAACTTGTGAAGCTGCAGGTATGGGCTAGCTCCCAGGTACTTGTACTTGTCCGCACTCGAAGGGCAGCAAAGCAAGCTGGTTTGTCGGGTGCCTGCCTGAGCTTCCAAGCTCCCTCCCCATCACGTTGCACCGCACCACCCCGACCGCGGCTTGGTTGCGGGGCAGCCGCACATCCCTGCATGAACAAACCTTGGAAGCGCGTCAGGTGTGTGACGGGCGTCACCTACGCACGCCGGATGAGCGACAAACAAAACATCATTGATCTCCCGAGGTTTCCATCTGACATTCTGCCATGGCAACAGCTGTCATTCATTCATCCTTCCTTCGTACCCTTGATTGTTGTTTGGGGGGTCATCCAGGTACACAGCCACTGCCTTGATTTCGCTTTCGCGTCAGCCGGAAGCTTCGTACCTGACCGCCAGAGCGTCCATGCACCCCAGCCGCCTGATGTCACGATGGCGGCGGATGAGTCTTTTTACGTTTTTTTCTCGTTCAAGGCGCCGAAAGGTGCAGCGACGCAGTTGTGAGGCTGCAGTACAGATGGGGGACCCATAGCTTGGGCAGCTACCTGCTGTCGATCATCTGGGGCGCAAGTGCATGAGTGGGTAATTACGGCGTTGGCCGGCTTTACTGCTAGTTTAACGACAAACACGCTAAGCTGAATCTACACGAGAACGGCCTGTACAACAACGTCAATGCTAACTATAGTAAGCTTCTGTCATCTGTTTGGGAATATGTAGGTGTGTTTGGATGAGCAGAGCAGTCACGGATAGCTTTGGAGGAGAGGAATGGAGGAGTATAGGCATATTCATTGTATACAATATCCCATGTACTAAACATCATCACCAAAGAAGCTAGCTACAAGAAAAAGACCGACCACCATCTACCACCACCTGACACCTCACACCCATCCCAACCTAAGCCGACTGACAAGCCGTAACAGTCTCAGTCTTCGTCCCAGGAACCGTCGTAACAGCAGCGCACGCCTACACCAATAACCACCACAGTCAGCTTACTAGATCCACCAATAGCCAAAACGGAGTAAAGGTACGTACCGGTCCAAGACCACCGAGGTTAATCGTCTCAAGCGCACATCCGGCACAGTCGGTGAAAACAGTAGACGTCGTTGTTGTGGCGTTGAAGGTGCAGGTTCCGACTTGGATATCAGGGAATGTGAAGACAGTCTTGGTGCAAGGCGTAGGCGATGGCGTGGGAGAGAGAGAAGGAGGTGGTGTGGTGAGAGGCGACGAGGATGCTGATTGCATCAGGAGAGTTGCGACAACGACGGAGAAGAGTGATGAGAACATGGTTGGTCTTGGTGATGCTGGAAGGTATCGATGTTGGGTGACTTCAACAACGAGCCAAGCATGCCAACTATATAGACATCTGAACAAGACATCTCACTACGTGAGATGAGATGAGGTCAAAGGGTTAAAGGGCCAAATTACATCACTCGTATTGTTCATTGTACTGGTGCGGCAGCTTAGAAGAGCTCGGCGGTAAGCCGGCACGGGTTCATATGGAAGAGAGTTCGAGATCAATATCATTATCGCATTAACTATGAAACGTCCATATTATGGGCGTCCAATCCCGTGACTATTGACAAGCCTCCAACTCCGGTAATGAGAAAGTTACATCATTGAGGAGACATACTGCCTAAAGGACAGTCAGAAGCTGAACATGCCGCGTACGCTTTTTCCATCTTGGTCACTGGTTCCGGCCCTCTTAGTCAAGGTGAACCATGCTTGTCGAATCAATCTGTACTCGTGCTATGACACAGCTGACATGCTCACGAGAGTAAGACATTTGTGCTGATGAGGTACATTTAAGCACCGTCATCCTCACCAATGCGGATGGCACCCTCGCGGCTGAGACCGTTGGCCCAGAAGCCGTTAAGCTCAACATCGCTCTCGCGCATGTTGGCGTGGGCAACCAAGAGCCAGGCACCGAAGACAGCCTTGGCGAGGACATCGAGGACAGCGTAGGCAATGATCTCAGTGTCGACGCTGGCCTTGCGAGCACCATCGGCAATACCCCAAACACTGGAACGGATTAGTATGAAATCGGCAGGCGTGGATATTGATGAGACTTACATGGGGTAGGCAGTCCAGAGGACGGCGGTGTAGGCAGCGATGGAGATGAAGAAACCGCGGAGCTTGTCACCCTTGGCGCGGGCGTTGGCACCACCGTTAAGACCAAGGTGCCAGAAGACGAAGAGGAAGGCAATGCACGAGATGGTGTACCAGCCCCACTTCTGAGCAGTGTCCTCAGTACCGAAGGCAGCGAAGAGACCAGTGAGAACCATGATGATGTCGGCAACAACCATCATGATCATGTGTCCACCGGACATGCCAGCAAGGAGACCGAGGTCGAGGAGCAGGAGAGGGGTGGTGATGGTCCAGTCGACGTAACGGGCCCAGTAGACCTGGCGGTAGACGACGTTGTAGGTGTCGGGGACGTGGTCGTGCTGCTCGCGCTCGACCTCCTTCTTGAGGGAGACACCAGCGCCGGAGGCCATGGCGAAGTAAGAGAGGGCAGCGGTGAGGGTGATGATGGTGGTGATGACATGGTAGAGGCGCTTGTTCTGGGGGGTGTTAGAATTTGCTATCTGAAGCAGCTCCGGATGGTACTCACCAAAGGCACCTTCCAGGACATGACGGTGAAACCGGCAGAGGCGATCAGCATGAGAACAAAGACGACCCAGAGGGTCTTCATTCCAGCATCGCCGGCAACCTCGTAGGTGGGCTCAGGTCCGGGGGCGACGGTTGGGATGGGAGCAACCGAAGGCAGCGACGAGGCCGTCGCGGTGGGCAGCGGGAACATCTCCGAGGTCTTCTTCAAGACTTCCTCAATCATGATGGCGGTTTGGTGTTGTGATGGGACTCCGGGACCTGTACAGCAACAATTGGTGCTGAGGGATCTATGGGAGAGTTGACAATGAGAAGCAGGAAGAGGGTGAGACGAGGCGGAGTTATAAAGAGGAGAAGCTAGGCAGCTATGCGGTCACCTGTTGGAGCTGCGGCAGGAGCTATACGAAACAGGAATCGAGACGTCATAGCCCCTCACGGCATGCACTATTGATTGGTTCCCGCTACGGCCTGCGTGAGAAGCAAGGATGCGCCAACGCCAGCTCTGCGCCTGGAGCTTCAGAATAAGGGTCTCCGCCGGCTGCGCGAACATGTTGTAATCATGGCAGCGCTGTCAAGCTGGCTGTCAATTCACTCACTCTGCCCATGTGGTTGCGACATTGAGCGCTCTCGTGGGGTGGGGCGGGCTGGCCAGCGAGAGGTACTTTGGTACATCATCAGTGCTTCATCACGCCAAGCCGTCCAGGATGTTCCCCACAGCAACGCGCTGTGCACGCCCCCAGCAGCTCCCACTGCTCCCCTTCTAGCCCTGGCAAACCGGTTTCAGTACCACCGATTGTATTAACTTTTCGATCTCCTCCTCCGTGCGCCGGCATGTGTCTCATGGATGGGTCCCACGATCGCCTCGATTCTATCGAGTTTGCTGACATCGCCATGCCCATCGAGCTGTACTCCGAGTATATGCGACGCGACCCCGCCCACTGTACATTGGCGCGCGTTTTACATTCCGTCAGTCCACAGCCCCTCACGGTGGTGTGATGTGGACCAACCATCCAGAGCTACTCGACAGCCGAACGGCCCGAAGTGCATAGCTTTGCACTTTATAGCCAGCATCCCAGACGACTCTTCATTGTAGACGCGCATCGCTGTCCATCTCCTCATGTGTTGAGACAATACCTAGGTACATGTCACCGGATCACGCGGCAGTGCGGAGAAGGCGGAGTGCATACGCCTGTACACCCTCACATCAGCGCGGCCGGTCAAACCTAGATGCAGTTACCTGCTACAGGCGGTTCTGCGACTTGCGTAGATCGACAGCCTTGTACGTTGTATCTGGCAATGCGCCAAGTAGGTACATCGCGACAGCCTCATCAGCTGAACAGAAGATTTCCACCGCTTCACCAATATGTACAGATCTTCGCGCAAGCCTGCCAGCCTTGTCGGCTACCTGCTCGGTACTTGATGGCTTTGCAAGTCTCACCACCGCGTAGCCCGCCTCCTCTTTCTGGCTGTCGTCAAAGTAATCTTCTTTGTCAAGGTTCCGGCACGGCTCGGAATTGTCCTTCAAGATCTTTCAGCAATTTCGAAGCGCCAGCTTGATCGTACCTTCTGATCTGGGCGCCTGCATCGTAAGGAACTGTCATTCGGAATTCGGAAGAGTCGGAATGATTGCGCCGTTGCACTTAAAGTTCAGCATCGAATGCGCGCAAGCTAGCGACTTCAACTTTTCATTCCAGCCAGGAACGCGGCCAGTATCTTCCATCAGTGTCTGCAGTAGATGCACCGCATCCTGCAGTACCGCGCGACGCCGGTGACCAGACACTCTCGTCTTTGAACCACTGCGTCTATTCCAGCCTGTCTCGTATTTGAACGAGGGCCCAGGTCGTGTAATACGGGCATCGCGCTGCCGCCTTCATGTCCCTCGGTTGAGGCATGCGGCAATGCGGCTTCAGAGATTGATGTAGACGTGGGCCTGTTGAGGTTTCGGCAGGTCCTAGCTCAAGTAAGTGGAATCGGGCCTAGGATTGCGGCTGACTGCTACTGAACGCACGTTCGCCGCATCGTAACAACCGCAGCGTCGCACATGCCACACCAACACCATGATTGAAAAAGTCCCACGTTCAGCGCGCTCTCGAAGGCACTTTACATACGCCTCCCCCCACGGGTGACAGCTATACTGGACCCCATAGGCTCTGCAGGCTATGCACCAGTGGAATATTCGCCCTTAGCGTGCCATCAGGGTACTCTGAGTAAGACCCTTCTGGTATATCGCCCGCCTTCACACGTCCAACCAGTTCCGTACTCCGTGAATCCTTCCTGAAGACCCATCAAAGCACCGTCAAGCATTTCCACCTGTCCATCAAGGTGCTTGATTGCGTCCAAAGGATCCAATATATAGTGCTTGTTGTTACCCAAGACTGCACAAGACACGCCCAGCCGAACCAAGCTTCTCCCAAGGGTTGCTTCTCCACTGAACCATTACCAAACATCTGGGTCGCTCGGGTCCACGCCAACCAGAGATCGACAATTTTGAAGTACATCTTGTCTAAATTTGTATCAAACGAACATTCCGTGCTATCACTACACTTCACTCAGTTGCCAGTGTTCTACCCATCAACATGGCTTCTACCGCCCTCGATATTGCACGCCTTGTGCTCCGTCAAGATGACGGCGCAGAGTCACAACCCGAGGAGGTCATCACTTGCGGCGGCGACAACGAGTACGATGGCCGCATGGGCACCCGTATCTCATCCATCTTCGTCATCCTGGTCGCATCCAGCTTTGGTGTGTACAAGAAACCCCGACGATCTTCGCATACTAACATCGCACAGGTGCCATGTTCCCCGTTCTAGCAAGACGTTCCCGTAGCAAGCTGGTCCCCAACTGGGTCTTCTTCGCCGCCAAGTACTTCGGTTCAGGTGTCATCATCACAACGGCATTCATCCATCTCCTGGCCCCAGCAAACGAGGCTCTCGGTAACGAATGTCTGACCGGTGTCATCGCCAAGTACCCTTGGCCTGAGGGCATCGCCCTGATGACGCTCTTCCTCATGTTCTTCCTCGAGCTCATGACAATGCGCTACGCCAAGTTCGGCAGTGACCACGACCACAGCCACAGCCACGAACCCACTGGCATCTCCCCAGCCGCCCACGCTGACGACAAAGCCCACGACCTCGAGGGTAGCACCGGAGGCAGCAGCGGCAACCACAACATCCGCGGCGACGACCACCTCGGCCACCAACGCGACCATGAAGCCGAGCTGAAGTCCGACATGGCACCCCGTCCCCTCGTCCCAGACGGCTACGCCTCGCAACTAACCGCCGTCTTCATCCTCGAGTTCGGTGTCATCTTCCACTCCATCTTCATCGGCCTCACCCTTGCCGTAGCCGGCGAGGAATTCATCACCCTCTACATCGTCCTCGTCTTCCACCAAATGTTCGAAGGCCTCGGTCTGGGAACCCGTCTTGCCGAAGTCCCCTGGCCCGCGTCCAAGCGCTGGACCCCGTACTTCCTTGGTCTCGGCTACGGTATCTCGACCCCCATTGCCATTGCTATTGGCCTGGGCGTGCGCCAGTCTTTTGCGCCTGAGAGCAGGACTACGCTATTGACGAATGGTGTTTTCGATTCCATCTCCGCTGGTATTCTTATCTACACGGGTCTTGTGGAGCTTATGGCGCATGAGTTTATGTTTAGTCCTTATATGCAGAAGGGACCTGTTAGTAGGACGCTCAAGGCGTTTGGCCTTATGGTTCTTGGTGCTGGTAAGTTTTTGTCTTCCTCCCATACTATCGACTTTATACTAACGTAACATCAGGTTTGATGGCTCTGCTCGGTTACTGGGCTTAGATCATCGTCACTTCTTCATTACTCTTTTCACTGCTCTTTCTTTGCTCGGATACCCGTAGATCAAGGCTGGCTTCTGTGCTAACGGATTTCTCACCTCGATAGAGGGATGTATCATGGATTAATGGAATTCACTAGAGAGGTTCATACATAGACCAGGTTCTTGCCATGCCTTAATGGAAGCACACATTTTTCATTCTTGATTCTCCTTCTTATCGACACTTGATTCGATGTTGCTCTTATCCTGCGCACGCTTGAACAATCTATTGCGTGATTCACAGGAGAGACGGTCATGTGATCGAGTAAAGTCTCGTCTACGGGTGCTCAAGTGTGTGCTGAACCTAAAGTCAGCAACGTAACGCGTTGAAACAAGCTTATGCCGATAACCTTCTGTCGTGTGCAACACTACAGTTCAGCAAAGTTCTTTCAAACTGTAAAGCGACATATATATTGGCTATGTAAAGATTTCTTATATAAAAACTCTCTCTCTCGCAACTGAGTAGTAGTAGTTGTGGGGGGTATCATAAAAACCGAACTGACTTTGTGCACACAACACGCGTAGACACGAGCCCAAGTAAAAACAGCCAGACGACAAGATCTTTTCCAAGATTGTTGACGTAGGCCGTAGATTCAAAAACATTATGGAGTTGAACGAGAGTGTATGTATATATAGCGGCCGTCATGGAAGTAGAAAGAAAAACAAAGGAAATGGTCGTGGGGGGCGTCGAAATCGCATTCGACGCATTGTGCCGTTGTGCGCCGGTTTGGAAGTAAGGTGGAAATGCAAGTGTCCTTTATGGTGTAACGCCGTGGTGCCCTATGCATGCAAGATGAAGTGAAGAAAAAAGGTGGGTATGTGCAAAGTTGAGCAAAGCAAGAGAGAGATAAGTGTGAGCTGTGCGTGCGTGCGTATGTGTGTGTGTGTGTGTGTGTGGTTATGAAGATGCTTCCAGGGCGTCAATGGACGCGTGGAGGTATCTGATTCGCTCTTCGAAGGGGGAACCAAGGGGGCTGAGGGTCTCGTGTTTCTTTAGGTCGGACTCGCGGGTCGTTGCGTATGAGATCCATGTACCGGGTAGTTTGGGACGGAATTCTTTGACAGGACTTCTAGACTGATCTTGTCCGTCGTCCGTGGGTGATGTTGCTCGAGAGTGGTCGCTGTGATGATCCATGTGTTCGAGACCTTCGAGGTCTATGCCGCTGTCCCGGTCGATGACGCGGTCAGATTGAGGGAAGAAAGGCGAGTCTAGAGCGTCGATGGCGTTGTGTATCGGACTCCAGGGACTGAGGAGACCCCTGGATTCCTGTGGTTCGGCGGCGTCGTTGTCGTCGTCTTCCGCAACGAGTACGCGGCCACCTATCTTGACATCGCTGACGTGCACTTTGTACTCCAACGCTTTCTGACCGTCTTTGATCAGCTGTTCTGTCCACCCGAGACACTTCTTAAGGCTCTGGTTCATCTTCTGGCTGTCGTTCAACATCTCGCGATGTTTGGAGAGGTCGAGCTGGAGACGCTTTTCGTCACGTGAGCGGTGTGCTTCGTCTCGCTCTAGCTGAGCGCTCGGGCTCAAAGCACCCTCGTCGAAAGAAGACTCGCTGTCTTCTTCCTCCTCCTCTTCCTCCTCAGGTGTTTCGTCCTCCTCTTCTGCTTCAGACATGTCCGACAGGTCCCCGATATTTCCAGAGCCAATGGCAGAAGTTTCAGGAGGCGAGCTAGCCATATCAGCAGAGAAATGCCCAGCTCGGCTCATGCGACGGAAGCGTCTGAGCTCCGCCTTTTGCTTCCGGACTTCCTTCTCCAACGATCGGTTGATGGCGAGGAGCGAAGAGTTGCTGATTTCGAGGTCAAGCACTTTACGCTCCCTTCGTGCATTGGCAGCAAGCTCGTTCATCATCTCGAGTGCGCTCTTGGTATCGCTGTTCCTCTTACCATCTCTTGTTGGGCTTGCTGATACCGGTGAGCCAACAGGGGAGAATGCGGTGTAGCGGCGAGCGGGCGTAGGTGCTGCATCATCGGGGAGGGAGACACGATTCTCAGTCTGAAGTGGGCTTGGCTGCATGGCGGATGGTTCATTAGTCGATGCCTTCTTCGCACTCGTCACAGAGTCGATGGACGACAGACTGGAGCTCTTGACATGTCCTCGCTTTATAGTGGAGGCGACGCTAGACCTCCGTCTGGGGCCATCAGATACATCTGGCGTGTTCGATCCAGTCAACATGGCGAGGGCCGAGTTTCCTGAACTGCCTCTACTGAGGGCTGGCCGGACCTGAGAGGCGCCCTTACGATATGAGAGATGTGCAAAGTCCTTTGTAGGCGAAGGCGGGCGAAGCGACCCCCCTTGTCCGCCTTCCAAGGGCGGAAGCAGATCTGGAGATGTAGGAGGCGGCGGAGTGAGAATCGGCTGGCGGTCTTTTCTCTCGGAAAGGGAGTCGGCGTGGAAGAACTTGCTTTCGGGCTGGGAGTCGGCATGGAAGAACTTGCTCTCGGGCTGGGATCTGCCCAGGGACGACAGCGGTGGCGATGGTACGGTGGGCTTCGCAGGGGGCTCATCCTGTCTTCCGTCGGCGTAGAAGAATGCGGGTGCCTTCTTCGTGGGTGCCAGTACCGGTGCTGGTTGTTCGTGCGGTCGTGCGTCGTTGGCGTGAAAGAACAGGGATGAGGCGTCTTTCCTGCCAGCGTCGGAAGGAGCGGTATTGTACATGGAGAGCGAGGGCCTCGGGGTCGGCGTGACATGGCTGCTGCTTGGTCCTGGTGTACTGCGCGGTCGCCCCCCTACCGCCGATGAACCGCTCCTTCCAACAGCGCTGTGCCCACTGAATCCGCCAGTCTGGTCCCTGGTGTGGTGGTCCACCGTAGAGCCTGGCCGCGAGCTGCTCGGGGTAACAGAGGGGGTACCGCTGGGCGTAGACGAGGCGCTGTCTACGCCGACCCGTGACTTTCTCGTGGACGAGCGAGGCGTGACATTGCTGCTCAGGAAGGGCTTGATGGGCGTCACCTCGTTGTGCGAGGGCGCCGGGGCCGCAACCTTGGGCGTGGTGCCATTGCTGGTGCGGGCGGTGCGGGTGCTCGAGGAGCTGACGGTGGAGGAGGCGGTGGGCGCTACCGCAAGTCTCGGGGTCAAGGGCGTCTTCGCGGCGGTTCGGGTGCTGGCGAGCGTCGGCTTCAGCGGCCGTGGGTTATTTCGGTCGGTTCGTTCGATGGGCATCCTCTGGTGAGTGCGGCTATAGTTGTGGTGTTATACTGCGGATGCGGAGGGAGATCATGGCCTTGCCGGGGGGCAATGGGCGCGGCTCGGGGGGTAATGGCGGTGTTGACGATGGTGTGTTGATGGACGCTAGTAGCGTGTCGGATGTCTGCAGGTCATACAGCACGGCGCTCTACGTGTATTGCCCCACTTCTACAATGCCAGCGGTGGAGGAGTGCAGATGGTTGGCGTCCAGTCCATGGTCGGGGGCCAGACAGGAGCAGGAGAAGGGTTCAGGTGGGGAGGCGTCTGTGTTGGTGCGAGATGAAGTAACTTTGGTGGCCCTGAGTGATCCTGGAGGCTTTCAAACGCCGCTAGGCCGAGTGGGGAGTAGACGTGAAAGCGCGTCATGACCTCGAGAGGGCCTCATCTCGCGTTTTTATGGGGCCTCCTGTCGCCCTCACAAAATGACCCCCCACCTACCATGAGCGATGCAGGGTCCGCCCATTCACCACCATCATGCGCGCAGCCCCGTCGCGCACAAGTGCCCCGGCATGCACCGAGTCACCGTAGTCACGACGCGTCCGACCTGCCTCGAGTGGCCACCGCAACCACCATGACCACCGCCAAAGGAGATGACACCTCCCGAGATATACCAGAGCGGCCGCAGCCTACCCGAACCACATCCACCGAGCACGACTCCCTAAAGTACCACCTCCTCGGCCCGTCGCTCACCAAAGCTGGCCAAGACAGTGTAGACCAATCCAAGGTCTCTGAGGTCATCTACAACGCGTCCAAGGGCTCCAAGTTCTTCAACAATGAGGAGGTCAAGGACAAGAACCTCACCGAGAAGATCAACAAGATCCTGGAGAAGAGACGCCAGCTGGAGAAGATCGACTTGACCTCCGACCAGCGCAGAGCAGATGACTACATCGCTGAGCTGGAGCTGAGCAGGGACCTGAGCCAGGTCATCGTACACCTCGACTGCGATGCTTTCTATGCGGCAGTCGAAGAGCTGGATCGCCCGGAACTGAAAGACGTTCCGTTCGCAGTCGGCAAGGGCGTGCTGACGACCTGCAACTACCATGCTCGCAAGTTTGGCTGTCGCTCCGGTATGGCTGGGTTTGTCGCCATGAAGCTGTGTCCGCAGCTCATCTGCGTTCCCATGAATTTTGCGAAATACATGGCCAAGGCCGAAGAGGTCCGCGAAGTACTGGCGCTATACGATCCTGACTACCAAAGTGCGAGTTGCGACGAGGCATACCTCAATTTGACAGAATACTGCCAGGAGCACCACATGACACCCGAGGAAGCTGTCAGCCAATTGCGCGCAGACGTCTTTGCAAGAGCCAAGATCACCGTCTCCGCTGGCATCGCCGCCAATGCTAAACTCGCCAAGATTTGCTCAAATCAGAACAAGCCAAACGGGCAGTTCCTGCTTGCCAGCGACAGGCAGACGATCATGGAGTTCATGAAGACCCTGCCTACGCGAAAGGTCAACGGTATCGGTCGCGTCTTCGAACGAGAGCTGGATGCCATAGGCGTCAAGACATGCGGAGACATATACGCACATCGAGCATACATGGCAAAGCTATTCGGGCAGAAAGCATTTCAATTCTTGATGCAGTGCTATCTCGGCCTAGGGCGCACTGTCATCAAGCCAGCGGAAGACCATGAACGCAAGAGCGTCGGCACTGAAACTACCTTCAGAGAACTACAGGGACGTGATGCCCTGCGCGACAAGCTTCGGCATATCGCTGAAGAATTAGAAGGGGATCTCAAACGCACCGAGTACAAAGGAAGAACACTCTGCATCAAAATCAAGCTCCACACCTACGAAGTACACACGCGACAGACGACGCCACCTTTTGCTATACACAAAGCAGACGACCTCTTCAAGTACAGTCTACCGATGCTAGAGAAGCTCATGAAAGAGATACCGAACATGAAACTACGCTTAATGGGTTTACGAGCTACGCATATCATCAGCACGAAGAAGCCTGGAATCGACTTCTTCGGCCGCGCAGCGAAATCATCTTCCACTGCAACCAAGACGCCTACCTCGAAAGACGAAGGCACATGGGAGACATGGCCCGAGGAAGAGTTCGAAGAGGCCGCACGACAGGAACGAAACAACGAAATGAACGAACTAGAGAAGCTGTCGCAGGAACAAGAGCAACAGCAGAACGAACAGCTGCCAGCCGAACCGCAATGGCAGTGTCCTATTTGCTCTATCCCGCAGGCGCCCGATGATGCAAGCTTCAATGCGCATATAGACTTTTGCCTTTCGAAACAGACTATCAAGGAGGTTGTCAAGTCTACAACACCGCTGCCGCCCCCGCCGGCAGCGTTCGAGAAGCAGTCTAGTGTTTCCAAAACAGTAACCAAGAAGGGGAAGCGCGGAAGACCCAAGAATGAAGGCACTTCATCTGAGCAGGAGGCTAGGGAGAAGAGACGAGCGTTCTTCACGCTTGGAAACGGATGATCTTGCATCTCACTGTAATCGAACATAGGTAATGCAGACGTTAATCGACTGTTCGGTTTGTTGTCGCCAAATTTCGCGCGTGTGACGTGATCGGGACGAGAACGTGGGGTAATCTTGAATGCCGACTGTGCCGCTTGAATACATACATGAGCGTACGTACCACAGATTCGCATCCTTTTTACCGGTCTTTGTTACACAGCCTCGTTACACAGCCTCTTCTATCTCAAACGATTCGGATGCCCGTCGAGCAGCATGCAGTAATGCGTGCGAGTGGCGGCTTTTATTTTCGATCGAACCAGAGACTCCTGAGTGGCTGGTGCTACCACACGTGAAAGCGCTTTCGATGAGTGTGGCTTTTCCAGCACAGCCTAGCAGCTCTTACCTACACCCAAGTAGAGGTACTTAAAGCTCGAGATCCTTAGGATATAAAGGGTCCCAAGTACGATTGTCATCAACAAACTCTATCATCTGAAGGAAACAGCAAATATGGAGAACGACCTCATGACCCCTGCGACGTCTCTAGGACCAGAGGTCTTTGCGCAGATTGAGAAAATTTCCCAGCTTGAATTCGAACGCGACGAAGCTCGACATTGGGCGTCAAGGCGTATCCGCTTTTTGGTCTACGATGATTCCGACTGCAAGACCAACGGTTTCGATAGCGATGACGAAGACGGAATGGAACAACAGGCGGCAAACTTGAGTCTTGGTAATCCTGCAGCTCGAATCCCAAAAAGAGTCGGTATGGCTGTACGACCAGAAAGTCACAACAATTCCGAACAGCTTACATGTCGAGTTTGTGCCTCGTATCCCGAGTTCCCACACAAGTGGAAGCCCAGGAAATTCCGTCTGGTCAATCCGGTGCTTGAACACCCAGAATTGTTCAAAGATGAAAGTCGCCACTGGCGCGACCTTTGTGGGCACTATGCGGCAGTATCATATTGCTGGCCCCCTTATGGGGAACCCCCGACTCCAAGAACATACACGGTCCGGGACCTCGACGGGCGTGTTCGATCTAGTCGTGCTCTTGACGACGTTCTAGATCGCGCTGTGGACTTCGCCAATTCATATGGCCTTCGCATGATATGGATCGATCAAGAATGTCTCCCCCAACCGACTGAGAACAGCCCGAAAGAAGACTGGAATGAACAAGAACTTGGAATACAGTCTATGGACATTGTTTACAACAGAGCTGTGGTCACAGTGGGTTTGCTGGACGTCGAGATCACATCGCAGGAGCAACTCACGGCCATCGAGGCGCTGCTCTATCGTGACCCAAGACGCTATGAAGATATGATGGATTGGCCTTTCTGCGAGCGAATACTTGAATTTCTCGACAGAACTAGTCACGATCGGTGGTATACCCGAGCGTGGGTTGTTCAAGAGGCTATTTGTGCTGGAAGTGGCTTGATGCTAGCCTTTCGGCGTAGTCCAGGTCTGAAGTTCCGATCGTCTCATCGCTTTGAGCAGACCTGCCGTAATCGTCCTTACCACTCACTCGACGATGACCAGGAGTTGTTTGAGTCAAAGCTCGTCTGCATACACGTGCTTGGATTCTGGCGCATTCTCGACCGAATGAAGTCTAAGCTTACAAGCGACTCTGTTCATATGGGATACCATCATGTGCGATTTAGTCTAGGAAAAGAAGTTTATCCGGGAGCTCGATCCGTGCTTGAAGCAGCAGATCGTCTCCATCCAAGGGCCGAGAAAGGAAGCTCGGTGCCTCAGACTGTAATGTTTGAGCTGGATGGGTTCTATGGTAAACGACCTGTGATGAATGCCGCAGGTGCTCTGACGTTGTTGAAGCATCGCGAATGTTACTTCAATGCCGACAGAATTGCTATCATAGCGAATATGTGCGATTATGATTTCCGGCTGGACACGAGAAAAGTCAACGCCAATTCCGGTTCACTACGTATAGCTATTCTGGCATTAGCACTGAGCAATGGCGACCTGTCTCTGTTAGTTCCAGAGGCTTACCCACCGCAGGATCGCGACCATCAAGAAGATGCGTGTGCTCGAAGTGCACCGACCCTGTTCCAAGATTTTCACCGGACTGCTCATCGAATCGATCACTGCCAAGTTCACGACTATATCAACGCAAGGCTTCAAACAACACAAGCAGGCGAGTTCACTGCTGACGGAATGCTCTTCAACTCGTATCTATGGTCAGTGCATCGTGAGATTGACTTCACACCTATTCAAGCGGTGTGGGCTGATACTTGGGAATCATACAAATCCTGGCACCTGGATTTTCCGCGCCTGAAAGACGAGACCCTGGAACAAGCTCATACGCGCCAAAACACATTCATTCAAAGACTTGATCAACCAAGCATAGCCTCACAAGCTCTTCGCGACTTTCGACATATGGGCCGTATCTCAGGCGAATCAGCTCTATGGAAAGGCCTCGATCATACTGGAATACATTTTGAACGAGTGATTGATGTTAAACGCGTCCGACAGGACCCGCAAATGGGTGACAAAATTGCTCAGATCATCTTTAGTATCCTCCACTATGTCAGGTACACCCTGGCCGCATCAGAAGAAGGAGAATTGATGAAGGGCTTGGCCAACAGCATATGGCAGTCAGTCCGAGCTGATCAGGCTCCGGATTCAGACCACTTTCTACCAGATAAGGTCGACGACACACTCTTCGCTCACCCGGATGTCATGGAGCGCCCCTTTGCCACTTTACAGCTCGACGAGACTCACGGATCCAGCTTCGCGCAGTTATGGTTCATCGACCGAATCATGCAACACGGACGACTTTGGTGTGGAACATACACTCCACGGGATCACCAGATCTTTCACCGCTCGCCTGGCAGCTTACAAGCGGACTCCACCTTGGAAGAAGATTTGGAGGCACACCAAAAGATCCTAGAAGCGAACAACCTGCCCGAAAAATTGATCATCCGGAAACAACTCTCGCGCATGATGTTCACTATGCTGATCGAACGCATTTTCGCTAGCAAGCCCGGATTATCGAAACACCGCCACACCATGGTGGCTTATGCTTCCACTGAAGCCTTGGACTTGTGGTCAGACCGTAAAGAGAGGATACGACAAAAGACTCTCATGTCCACCTTCGACGTAGACGGACCATGCCTGGTGGCAACGCCATACAATTCAGAATGGGAAATACTGCCGCATCCAAGGCTCCGTAGCGCGAGTGTATGCTGGGTCGTTGAACTAAAAGAGAGCAGTGGCGGTGCCACACGGACACATATCAAGAAGGAAGACGACTCCACAGATTTGAATCCTGGTCTTGCAAGCGGATCAGAGGTCGGAGAGAAGGAGAAGGCAAAGGAAGTAACATCTGATAACTCACAGGAAGCAAAGCCTTCCTCAGGCGTTGAGTATCACACCCCCAAGAATCGTTTGGGACAGCGGGATCTTGACTTACGAGTATTGGCAAAGGTGAAAGGGTTATGGCAGATTATGGATGTTCCTTCTCAGATGTACCTGTTTAGTTAGGGGCTTTGGGCATGATGGGCGGAACCACTGAACAGTTACAACGAATCCCAGGTTGCTGCGATAGATTACTTGGTTTGCGACTTCCCGCAAGCTTCTTACCAATCAGTGATACGCATCGTTCATTAATACCAAGTGCTCTTCACGCAGCAAGTATTCTCTTGTCTGGAGAAACATATCGTGTCAGAAGCCAGAATTCGATAAATCGTGTAGTGTCCAGTAGAAATGCTCCAAAGCAATGCGATGAATGACTGCATCCAGAAATAGCAGCCAATTTGATGAAGAACAAAGCCCGTGGCTGAAGGCAGAAGTTTGGCGGGCATAGCGCAAAGGCAGGCGGCTACTCTCGCCCCACCAAACCCACTCACATCCCACCCGTGGACTCGTGCAACAGTCATTCTCCACCCAAGCGCCGACGAAGATCCCCTGCCTTTGCTGTTGTCGCGACTGGACCCTTTTATTTAATCATCACCCCCCTCGCTCACCACGACGGCGTCACCAGCCCCAGCCCCCGACAAGCCCCCGAAGCCGCCCTCGCCTCTGCGCATCGCCAGCCAGCTCACAACCGCCTCGGCCATCCTCTGGGACCCCAAGTTCACCTCGCGAGCGCCCCCGGGCAGTCTCCAGCCCGTCCACGCCGGCACGCTTGTCGCCCCGCACCGCACCGACTCGTCCATCAGCGTCCGCAACCTCGGCGACGGCTACACACAGCCCATCGTGCCTACCATGGACAACCGCCGCCACCCCAGCTCCTTCCAGCAGCTCGAGAAGCTGGGCGAGGGTACCTATGCCACGGTAGGCAGGAGCGCTATGTTAGTTGTATAGTATACTGACCTGCGCAGGTCTTCAAGGGCAGAAACCGCCAGACAGGCGAACTCGTAGCCCTCAAGGAGATCCACCTCGACTCGGAGGAAGGCACGCCCTCGACGGCTATCCGCGAGATTTCCCTCATGAAGGAACTACGCCACGAGAACATCGTCCTGCTGCACGACGTCATACATACCGAGAACAAGCTCATGCTCGTCTTTGAATTCATGGACAAGGACCTCAAGCGATACATGGACTCGCGCGGCGACCGCGGTGCTCTGGACCCCGCCACCATCAAGTCCTTCATGTACCAGCTGCTCAAGGGAATCGCCTTCTGCCACGAAGCCCGCGTCCTCCACCGCGACCTGAAGCCCCAGAACCTCCTGATCAATAACCGTGGCCAGTTGAAGCTGGCCGATTTCGGTCTCGCTCGCGCCTTCGGCATCCCAGTCAACACCTTCTCCAACGAAGTCGTAACCCTGTGGTACCGCGCCCCCGATGTGCTGCTCGGCAGCCGGACCTACAACACCAGCATCGATATATGGTCAGCAGGCTGCATCATGGCCGAGATGTACACCGGGCGGCCGCTGTTCCCCGGAACCACCAACGAGGACCAAGTGCAGAAAATCTTCCGGCTGATGGGCACACCGTCTGAACGATCATGGCCAGGTATCTCGCAGCTGCCAGAGTACAAGAACAACTTCCCCGTATACCACACCCAGGACCTGCGTCTCATACTGCCACAAGTCGACCAGGTGGGGCTGAGTTTACTCAACTGCATGCTGCAGCTACGGCCAGAGATGCGCATTAGTGCTGCGAACGCTCTTTCACATCCGTGGTTTAATGACCTGCCTCAACGGCAGCAGGAGATGCAGATGCAGGCCCAAGCACAGGCACACGCGCAGGCCCAACAAGCGCAGATGGGTGGCTACCAGGTGCCTCAAAACGCATACTAGACGTATGTCCCCGTTGATCAAGAATCGCAAATTCGAATGAATCTCATAACGGCGCAACTGGAGGCTGCCTATACTGCACGCGAGTATTACAAGGACGCGCCCGGGTACCAAACGAGTCGAGATTCGTATTGCTATAAAGGAAAATAGGTTACCTGGAATGGGCAAACGTACCGGCACACGTACATCCCCGATGAGCATTGGCCCCACGGGCCATTTTAGTACAACGGCGAGCGCTTCACATGGTTTGTAACCGAGCGAAGGACCCGCGATTTCTCTCTGGCATCATGTCAGTTGCCACCGCGCCCGTACGTGTCGATGGGGAGGCTTGGTGTGTGGAATGGGGAAACTTTTATGGTGGCTGGATTGGGGCCGCTTGATTGGCCACCTAGTGAATCAGATTAAGGCTGGAAGACATGCGGTTTATTTTTGAGGTCGTTTTTATCTTGGCAGCTTTAGATGGCTGTCAGGTTTATATTCATACCATGAAACCCTTTCTTATTGGGTAGCTACTCCCAAACAACGACGCATTACTACGAAGGTTTGCACTGCTTTGACAAAGACACCATATGTGCTTTTACTCGATGTTTTCAGTGACGGGTGAAATGCGTGTGGACGAGCTTCTCCGAAGTACAGTTCACAGACGAGGTACTCCAATCCCTCTTTGACGAGTGGACGAGAGTATTATCTTGGCCATCGTCACCAAGTAATTCACCCGGACCTTCAAGCCTGTTTACTGCCTCGTACGTTGGTCCTGCCAGACTTGACTAGACCAGTATATTGGAAACTGCCAATCAATAACGGACAGAATCCATTCTCTTCCTCTCACGCCAGTTTAACGTCTAGATCTAAGTGCATTCCAAGTTACATACACCTGCAAATCCAGGAAGACAATTACAAAAGAGAAGCTTCCAGTGTGTTCACTGTCGGAGCGGCGCGATCTAGCTTACGCATCCCTATTGATAACTCTACCGTGTTTAGTACTCGTTATAAACTAGTCACGCTTTTTGTTTTGCTCGTGGACGTGCTGGCTTTATTATCCGTCTCCTTCCTTATTTAAGTACAGTCCCAGAACCAGTATATACAACATCCCCAGCCGAGCTATGCATTCTGAAAAACGTCTCACACAACCTCGAGAAGCCTACGAAGTGGAGCTTACACTGTAACACTAGGCTCTTCTCTAGCCGTCCGCTGCTATAACAACACCGTCTCGTTTCGCATGCATAAGAAAGAATGGTAATGTCGACGCTACGTTGATCTATAGTATAGAGACCCTACTCTCAGCGTAGTGTCTAGTCTTCTTCTCTCTAGTATATTACATCTGCGACTTCCCTTATCTACAAGAGTGTCTCGTCTCTTCGCCTAGATTGGTGATGCTAGGGAAGTTGTAAGTGGCTTGTTTCGCTCTGCGTTATCGCAATACTATTGGTGAGGTGAACTTTTGCTCTCTATTACATTACTTGGACAGTCGCAGAACACAGAACTATATCCTTGTCTTAAGCTCGAAGCTATGCAGGCGATATCATGAGATTGGAGTTCGCGTTGGTTGACTAGCTTGCGCGTGCAGGAGAGTGTCTTGGGTGTGGATGAGGTGGTGGGATAACTGGTTGGAGGGGATGTGTGTTGAGAAGCTTAGATCGAAGAAGAAGAAGAGAGAAGAGTAAGAAGAATAGAATGAGAGGGTGATAGAGGCTTCGGGAGGAGCGGAGAAAGCAGGGGATAGCTGTGATAGCTGATGCAGCGAAGGAACAGATATATAGAAATACATAGCAAGGTTTGAGTAGATCGTGATAAAAGGAGTGCGAAGTACAGGAAGCCTTGCAGTTTTAATAAATGGATAGAGAGATAGAGGGTGTATACTGCGATATCAGGCTCCGACCTGCCTTACTATGGTTTTTAGCACTTTTACTTATCCTCTCTCTCGCGAATAATGTGATATTGCATTTACTTTGCTACAACATCTCTCTAGACATTGCGTAGTTCCTACAAGAGAGCAACGCGCATTCCTCTACTCGAAATATATAGGTGTCTCTATATCTTCCTTGCTCTACCCGAAAATGCTCAATTGTAGTTGACAACAAACCAAGACACGTTCTCGCTTCATAATCTTGCTAAGACACTATTAAATTGACGAAAAGCGCTACACAGATATTGCTAAGAAGATGTTCGCGCGTCTATTTGCTCAATTATCTCTCCATGCCTTCTTGCAGCATTCTATTTGGCTACGCTGTACTAAAGCAGCTACGCTTCGCTTCTTTGGATTGCTCTACATGCTGCGGACGCGGGCGGATAACAAGAGTTACGCGCGACTCGCTCTGAGACGTGGTAAGTTCTCCTTGAATTAGTTCATGTCCTTGTGCATTGTTAGTCTCTTCCTAAGACACGAGGGCTGAGTCTCGCGACTTACGCCCTTGCTTTACTTCTGATTAAGCACTACGACTTTGCTGTCTCTGCTACTTTGTGGCTTCTCCTCCGTCTTGTCTTCGCTATTAGGGCGTAGTCCTAGTTTGGTCTGGTCATTGAGATGGTTCTTTTGTATACAGTGTGATCGTGATAGCTTTGCTGTGATTCTCAGCCAGTCACTGAGAAGGGTGCGTAACGAAGACAGGAACTGCGAGCGTAGATGCGCAATTCCATCCTCACATTCTTTCTTTAGACACCAGCAGCAGCACATCATCGTTGTATACTCTAGTCGTTAAGAAGGAACTCTACCGAGAACCATGATACGTCTTAGCACTGGCACATTCGCGACAGCAATCGATCAGATAGGATGCGAAGGTAGTGCCAGTCTATTCAACATCAATTGGCCGTATCGACTCGTGAGAATGGGTCGTCTTTGAAAGGATGAGTAGTGTTTGAGAATTGACGATCTCAATCTTCATTCCATATTTACTTTCGAACAAAAGCTTGTACGGGTAGACGGATCTAGGCGAGATGTCAGAAAGATTAGGTTGGTACTTCGCTTACTTGTTTCAGATTTCGGGAGTGAATGCCGTGATTGTGGTGAAAGATACTTTGTGTGTTTGGGAGAAGTTGGAGAAGACGGGTACTCTTCCGTTCGGCCAACGCGGACTCCAAGTGATGCGTCCACCGCGCGAATAGAAATGAATGTCAACTTTTCTACGCAGGATACTTACCCCGTTCCAGTTACTAGTAATGAGACGGCTGTTATTCCCTTGACGAATAGACTTATGATGTGGTGGCGGGCGTGATTGCTGCATAGCTACCTTGGTAGTCTCGAAGCTCTATCGGTAACTGTGAGCATGCTCTCGCAGTCTTCTTGCGATCGCAGTCGTCTCGGGATAACTCGATTGTAGCGGTTGTAAGCGGTACATTGGGTGGTTGGGTATGTAACCTTGGAAGGGCGCCGATTTGCCGACAGAGTCTGAACTGGTACGTCTCCGTTTGCATCCACGGTACTGCTATGTGCTGTCCTAGTCATGTTACTTGTCAACAAATCTCTCCATCGCACAACAGGGCGTCTTGGGGATACCATGGTGCTTTTCTCGATTCATTGCACTAAGGGAAGACTCAGTTTTAGCAAAGCAAGTTGGTAGATGGACTCCGTACTGTGCGTACCTGACTGGCGATACAGTCGTCGAATAGTCGGTAACATCTGACGTTCAAACAAGATATGCAAAGGCCATGATGATCGTTCCATGTACAAACAATCCGTCTGACGATGTACGCTGAAGCTTACCTGAGATGTGCAGCCTGAGCTCAGGGCACTGACTCTTCCCGCGTTGTACCTCGTACGAACCTCACAGTGATGTGCCGGAGGTATTGCCGTATCTAGTTTTTGATCTGCCTTTCCACGATCCATGACTCAATCAGCATAGACGGATGGCCTTACATTGTTTCGACAAATCGGACGGGCAGTTGTGCCTTCTGTATTGGGGGATACCTAGGTAGAGTTCTTTCCACACCATGCATGAAGCTGCATGATGTCATCGCAGGAAACCGCTTCCTCTTGACCCAACATCCATCTCAATGAAGCCATATCGCATGTTCGAGACACCAAAACGCCATGTTCATGCTAACGAGTGACGTTGGCTTCAGTCCTCCGCGGAGCTCATGCCAAGCATCACGAATCTTACCAATGGCGCAGCCGCTAGCGGAGCATAGACATGGGAAGGTACATACATAGCATTGCCAACGCCCCGGATCTACAACAAGCCTCAACACCATCGCTTATTCACCCATTACCAAGACTGCATCTCACGAACTTTTGAGTTTCTTCGTGGGCAATCTTGCTGCCTTCCGAGCCATGACGTGTGGCGTACCTATGATACGACTGGTGGCAAACCTACTTCTGGAGGCGGGTCCAGCGTGTCTCATTCGCGGTCTCGACGCCGTTGAACCAATTTTGATCGCTGCCGGCAGCATCTCGGAACCTTGACTGTCTCGATCCGACGGTGGAGACCGCAAAAGGCCCTTTAGGAAAGAGGATATAAGCCATGAGGGAGTCGCTACTGTCCCCAGTACAGAAACTCAGAGTTTGCTATCTCGTGCGGAGAAGCACAATGGTCGACGACGCCTCGTGGCGAATGCGGCATCCCATGCAGCCCTCACTCGCTACGCTTACCAGGGGTATTTCCGCGAACCTTACCAACGCATCGCCAGCTGCGCCTCGCTGAAACTACCCATCGAATACGGATTCGGATTATGGCTACAGTCTACCTTACCTCCCGACCAGATGCATGACCTCTGTCGTACCTGTTGGGTGGCATGACGACGACTGCGCGGCAAACACCGGCCCATACCGCCAATTAGGTGTACATGAAATCTCTCGAGTATGGAGCAACTGTCGGCGCCATTGCTCCGTTTCATGACCATCCCGTGGGACATGGCCAGTCAGTACCAGTTTTGATGTTCGGGAAGCGGTCAGTCCGGAGTTGAGGCCTTGTCGCCAGTTGGAGCAGTGTTCAGAGCCCTGACATCCCGTCATGGAGACCATTTAGCCTCACGGACGGATCCCCTCGTCCTTGCCCATGCCAGATTTT